GCAGCACTACGTGGAGTATGCGGGGCAGGTGGGTGGGCCCGACCACACCTGCCTCACACAGAGCCTGGAGGAAAGAACAGACAAAAAGTGCTAAAAACACCGAGGAGGGTGTGTTTTATTCCTAAAGTCACGCGAGTTATTTGCTGTCAGAAGAGGGAACGCCTCAGAGCAGGGTGAGACGGGAAGGACGGGAAGCTCCAGAGCCCGGTCCAAGGACAGCAGCCGGATTTCTGCCTTCCAGGTGCAGTTCGAGGAGCGGGAGGACACCAAGGCCTGCCACCGTCACCATCAACGACGACGACGTGTTCGAGGGCACGGAGAGCTTTTCCGTAGAGCTCAGCATGCCGGCCTACGCCCTGCTGGGGAACGTCACCCGGGCCACCGTCACCGTCGCGGACCCCGAGGACGAGCCCACGCTGCAGTTTGACGGGAACGCCTTCCACGTCAGCGAGAGCGCCGGCTTGCTCTCGGCTCCCGTGCAAAGGAAAGGTGGGTCGGGCTGGGCAGGACATGCTGAGCCCCATGGGAGGGCCATGGGGGAACCCTCGTGACAGAGAGCGAGCCCTTGGGCTGTGCCTGCTTGTGGTTTTGGGGTCTTCTCCGATGTTATGTGGCACGACTGTGAAACGTCAAGCTACACGCAGTGTGTTTGTTCCTGTCTCTGCTGTTAAAGCTTCTTGGGTTTGGATTTGTTTCAGCTCCCAGCAGGAGCAAACCCTTGTATTTGTTTGCTGCTTCTCTGTGACCTAGACAGTGTTTTATGTGGACCCTGTCACTGGGCTGCATGTTAATAGGCAAGTGCCACCGGTTTTCTGAGTGTGGATTTAGGAGCATGCCTGGAAGTCATGTCTAAGCCAGCTGCCATGCAAGTTCAGGAGCAGGGACGGTGTTCTTTTTCATTCCTCGCCCTCTTTTCCGAATGCTGCTTTATTTTTTAAGTGACCAGTATCTCCAGCAAACAGATTAAAAGTATTTCCACAGAACTATGGAGTTTCCCTGTTGCTTCCTAGGGGATGCCAGCAGCACCGTGTCTGCATCTGCTACACCGTCCCCCAATCGGCCAAGGGCAGCAGCCTTCACATGCTGGAAGCATGAAGTTTGCTGTAATGTTGTTACTCAAAATTAGCTGATATGTTTAAAGGAAGGCTGATCAGAGCAGAGGAGGAAGCGCTGGCACTTGGCAGAGTCAAGTCCTCCTGAAGGAACATAGGCCTG